ACAGTGTGCACTACGTCCAGGTCCCCTATGACGTCCTGCTGTCCTACAGCCGCTGCCACGATTTGATTCTGCGCACCCCGGAGGGGCGGCGCCTGCAGTTGGTCCAACACCTCGATGTGGAAGAGCGCGGTCAGTGGGCAGCCCGGTGCACGGGCCACACGACACTCGGCAATGTTATCAGCGCCATCATGAGGGAGCGTGACGCCCTTTGGTTGGCCGGGGCCCTGCCAGCCCCCAGCGTCACCACGGGTACAACTACTGGCGGCGCGTCGCCCGCCAAAGCCCCCCCTGCGGATGCAGGGCCGGTGGGGTCGGTGGTTTCCAGCCTTCGTGATGGAACGCAGCTTTGTCAGGCCTACCAGCGCAATCAGTGCCGAACCAAGAAGAACTGCCCACGTGGTGCACACCGCTGCGGCGTCGTGTTGCAATCGGGACGGGTCTGCGGGTCTTACCAGCAATCGCCTTCCGGATGCCCCAAGGCTGCTTGAAAAGAGGGCCGCTCCTCTGTTGGGGGGGGGCGAGGCCAATCTTTGGACACTCCTGTCTTTCATGACTTTCGTTCATTTTTGGCCGAGTTGGAGTCCACTGATATGCACCAGACCGAAGCCTCACCCTGCCCCGTCCTCCTTGATGTGTTCAGTGGGGTCCATGCACCGTTGTCCAAGGCCTTCTTGCGGTGCCAATGGGAGATCATCACACCGATTGACATCGAGATCGACCAGGACCTGGACGTGTCGCGTCCGGCGGTCCGTCGGGCTATTCAGGCTGTGCTCCCTCGGGTGGCCACTATCGCGGGGGCTATGAGTTGTGCTACCAAATCAAGAGCTAGGGAGAAACGGCCCGGCCCCCCTCCTCTACGATGACAACTACTCCAGTGACTATCTGTTGGCCTTACAACACTGGGGGCATCAACAGAACCTCGCATGTCTTCGCGAGAACCCGCTCAGGTCTCTGCACTGGTGGGACCCGGTCGAGCAGTACCTGTGCCAGGAGGATGATTGGCAGGATTTGGACTACGATGCATGCGTCTTCGGAGGCGCTCGGCGCAAAGCCCAAAAGTTCCGCCACAACATCCCTGAGTTAGCCTCCCTTCCGGCCGTTCGATGTGGACACATTCATGACCCCGACGAGTGGCGCTCGTCGGGTAATGGGCAGTTCTCCACCTTCAACGAAGCGGAGTACACACCTAGTTTGGTCTTCACCCTAGCGGTATGCTGCACGGCATGGGCTGCGCGACAGGGCTACGGTATCCTCGCCATCCCAAGGTTACCGCCCGTCAACACCTCAGGGGACGTACGACCACTGCTCCATTTCGAGCCGTCCGAGCTGCGAGAAGACCTGATGAATGTCATGGGTTTCCACCCGGGCCTTACACCACCACGAGAAGACTCGTCCCATGTGCCCACTCGTCAAGTCGCATTCGATGTGTTACAGCTGTGAGGTCACAACTCACAGACATGGACGTGTACATCGGCCCCGGGCACTTCTCCCATCGTTGGTGTGCGACTGCCCACACAACGTACTCTGTCATGGGGATATTATTCGCGCTCTGGTTTGGACTGCTTCACGTCCTACTTCGACCTCAGGCCATGCCCATCCCACCAGGGAGCAGTTGCGACGGGTCTCACTCATTGCTGCCAGGGCAGTCCCGCTGCGTTTCTCTCAGGAAATTGTGGTGGCCAGCCTCATGGCCCTTTGTCCAGATGTCAGTTGGGAGGGATTCCAGTGGCCCATGCTCGAAGACCTGCTAGTGGATGACTCGCACTACCAATGGCTCAACTACATGCAGAACCGCCCAGACTGGGACGGACACGCCTTTGGTCCACGGTTGGTGGGCCCATTGGAGCGCAACGCCATTGCTATGAGTGGCCTTCAGCAGCCCGGAGCGGCTGCTGCTGCTAAAGCCTTACCACCTATGATCCCCTTTGGCGTAGGGGAGGAGCGACATTTTGAACTCGCCCTTGAACTGCAGCAGAGACCTACCCCATTTGAAACCATGGGTGTTGTCGATGATGACTTGATCAGCCCAGGGAGTGGGCCTGCGTGAGGTGAGGAGACGTACAGGCCGTTGGCTCCAAGAACTGAGTCGTCGAATGTGGCCTATCACCTACCACCTCCAAACTTATCAGCCACCACCTGTCCGATCAGCCACTCAAGGTCGCCACATCGCCCTGATTGGGCTTGTCATGCTGATTACCGGATGGCCAGACACTACGTTCGTGGCCAACCTGATATATGGTTTCCCCGCCGTGGGCTTTTCCCCGCATGTGCCAGTCTACAAGGCTCAACCAGCTCACTACATCCCGGACGCCTCCATCTACCAGGACGCCCTGCCAGAGGCTGCCCGCATCATTCAAAGCCTCCGTCCAGGTGAACGCGACACGGCTATTGTCCAGGCGGGTGAGGAGGACCAAGCCAAAGGCTTTGTTGGCCCCCCAATGACATGGGCCCAACTATGCCAGGAACTCCCCCAATTCAGACTGATCCGAAGGTTTTGCATACAACAACCCTCTGGTAAGCTGCGAGTCATAGATGACGCTGCAGACGGAGGGCAAAGTGCACTCAGCTCCGATGCGAACAAGTTGGATCTATGTACGAGCATTCAACCTGGCCTCCATGTTCAATTGCTATGGCAGGCAGCCTCCTCTTCGGCTCATGCGTCTGAGTTGCTGCAAGCTGGTATTTGGTCCGGGGGCGAAGACTTACCCAACGCTTACCGCTATGTCCCCATGAAGCCGACACATAGCAACATGGCCGTGGTGGCTCACTACGACCACCATTTTCGGCAATACTACGGTTCTCTGTTCGGGTTACCAAATGCTGTGTGTTCGTTCAATCGGTTTCCCCGATTCTTTCAAGCTGCATGCCGCCGCCTGGCCTATTGTATGACCAGTATGTACTTTGATGACTTGACAATCCAGGATTTTGGTATTATGGGCGGCACTGGCCAGGCCTTCGTCAATGAACTCGCACGATGCCTTGGCTCACCCTTCCAAACAGAGAAACATCAGTCCTTGGCGGCCCAGTCTGATTTTCTGGGGCTGATCCACGACGTGGCAGCCTGCCACCAGGGTGCTCCTGTCAAGTTCTGGGTCCGTGACCGATTGCTCACCAAGGTCACCGACATCATGGAGGAGGCCACTCAGACGCGTCGCCTCCCTCCAGGACTGGCGGCCAAGCTTTTTGGCTGCCTGGGATTCTTGACGACGGGATGCTTCGGCAAGCTCGGCCGGTCGGGCCTCCATAGCATCAAGGAAAGACAATACACCTCGCAAGTCGTGATGACACCGGAGATTGAACAGTCCTTTGATAGAATTCGAGCGCTACTTCAGTTGAAGCCTGAGAGAGAACTACCGCTCAATCCAGTGCGGCAACACCGGTACTTGGCTGCATCCGATGCGGCGCAAGAGAGGCCTCGCGAGGGTTCTGCGGGAGTCTTGTTCATTGACCCCCGTGGTAGCCGAAGGGCCTATGTTGTCCACATCAGCCCAAAGATCTTCACGGTGTGGTCCCATCATGAGGCCAAGATTGCACAGCTTGAGCTCTTGACGGTCTACATGGGCCTTGCGTACAATGCTTCATCAGCTCGCGGAATGCATGGTATATGGTTTGTTGACAATATCGCTGCACTCATGGCCCTCATACGAGGCCGCAGCAACAACGATGAGCTGGATTCTATGGCCGGGGCCATCCATGGCCTTCTGTTTGCACTCCGTAGTGCATGCTATTTTGAATGGGTCCAGAGTAAGGACAACTGGTCAGATGGCATCAGCAGACAGGGAGAATACGACCCGTGGTTCCAACAACATGATTTTCGTCTCTTCCACACCTACCCCCTGCTCATGCTCCTCCAGCTGCCCTACCATCTCATCGCTCAGGTCTTTCAGTTCGTTTGAGTGCTTTGGATACGTTAGTGCCTTGGATGGAGTGCTCCCACAGGGAGAGTGTCAGATGTCAGATGACACAAGCGACGTGGGTCGCATTTCAAACCAAAGCACTTCAGTACAGACAGTACAGACCTGAATCGATTCGCAGAAAAGGGTAGCAGCAGTCGACATATGTTGAGCGAGATTCATCGAATATATTCAATCATTTAAGGTAGGCAGGGTCGGTGATGATGAATTATTTGGGAAGCTTCGAATCAACGTCTCCCAATGTTTGAATGCTCAAGCCAAACTGGGGAGACGCCCCTTGAGGAGCAGTGTCGCTGCTGGTACCTCAAGCTAAACTTTTTCTCCCACCCTGCCACACCCTGTTAGTTACTTGCATGTCCACCTGGTGCTGGTCGAGCTGGTGGCTGACTTGGCTTGTTGCCGGAAGAGTCTGGTTTCCTGGTGATAGTCACTTCACCTGTGGCCTTGCTGGTGCTTGAGGGCCGTGTTTTGGGTTACTTTCAGTTACCATGGCTATGCTTGCGACGCTTGCAGCCTGGGCTGCCGGCCATGAGAGACTAGGACTGTGCTGTCTGCCGCTGCCGTCCGGTTGTCCTTTTTCGGCTGTCCGCCGCCTAGCCATCATACCTGTTCTGTCGGTTCCAGGTATCGACGATGACTAGGGAGTTTCATTTAATCTTTTCATTTGCTCTGTCCGGAGCAGGCATCCGTTGTGGCCGTAGGACCGCCCCTGCGGTATCCTCTCGGTCACTACATACGGATGGAGTGCTCCCACAGGGAGAGTGTCAGATGTCAGATGACACAAGCGACGTGGGTCGCATTTCAATCCAAAGCACTTCAGTACAGACAGTACAGACCTGAATCGATTCGCAGAAAAGGGTAGCAGCAGTCGACATATGTTGAGCGAGATTCATCGAATAAGATATTGTTTTTGGCTCCAGAGAGGTGTGAAGGTGAAGGTGTCTCAGACTGAAGCAGTTTAATGCATCAAGACGTCTTAGACCACCAGTTGTCTCATCAACAAGCATGTTCCTTGAACAAGTAAACATGATGTTCTGGCCACGGAAGAGACCAATTGAACCCGCAAGTGACAGAGATGGGTATGAGGCCATCACACATTCTGCTCAACTACGAAGGCTGTGGTATCCTCTCAGATCTTAGTTCGGCAGTTCCTTGGAGTTGCACTACTTAGCTCGTCTCTGCGGCCGCCAGTTTGTTCACCGTGGCGCTCCGAAGACTCCAGGTGGAGCTGTGCGGCGAGCTGGAGAAGGTCGGAGAGCTGTGCGGATCTCCTGGCTATGCAGCCCCAGAGATGGTCAAAGGACTGGCATATGATGAGATGGTGGACATTTACAGCATTGGAGTGGTGAGCTGAGTCTAATCTCGAATGAAATATGTGAAAGGGACAGGTCGTTGAATGACTTCAAGCAATGTCAGAAAAGATTCAGCAACTCCCATGCCAACGCTTGGATAGCTTAGTAGAATGAGTCAGACCAGAGCTTACAAAAGGACCTTTTAGAGCAATTTTACAAAGACTGGATGTGGAGTCATATTTCTGAAAGAACTTCTTGAAGCATCCATATTTCTTGGCTCTTGGGTTGGAGGCCATCGCTAGTAGGTTGGAGGCCAAGTAGGTTGGAGCCCATCGCATCCAGGTTGGAGGCCATTGCTGTTTGATTTTTCTTTTCCAATTTCATTTTTCTGCATTGCTACGGTGTCTGAGGTGGTGATTTACTTTGCACTGTGCGGCACACTACCTTTCTCTGCCACAGCAGGTGCCGTGAAGCACAATGCAAACTTCAGTGCACCGGCAGCTGGGCTGACTTGGAGAAGCCTGACTTGGGAACCTGCAGAGTCCTGCCCCTTGCGCCTAGTAGCTTCTTGCTACTAGTAGTACGGCCAGGAGCTCCTAGTAGCATCCTCACCAAGTTGAAGCCTTCCAAGTTTGAGGGCACAACATGGAGACCACACGGAACCTTTCGACCATCTTCGCAGAATGTATCTATGTCAATCTATGTCAGATTTGTGGCACATCTGCTGTGTCTTTAAGTCTTCAAGGCCTTGGAGCGGGTGAGCAACGGACTCCGTTTGCTGCTGCGTGCTGCCATGGCACAAAACAGGATGCTCCCGGGAAATGGTGAATTTCTTGTGGGTTTCTGTATGGGGAGCTGTGCTTCTCCAAGGAAATGGCGGTTGTTTTCTCCTTCTTGACAAGTCTTGACAAGTCTTGACATCTGGAATTGATGTGAATGAACGCTGGGCTTTGTGATCTGTGGTGAATCTCCAAAAAACTCACCGATTTCCATGGTTTTTCCAAGGATCAATCGTCCTTCAGCCAGAGCCAGCTTTGTGACGCTTTGGCACATGGCCACTCCTGAGCAAAGGTCTCCAGTCACGCAGCCACTTGGCCGAAGAAGGGATGAAGCTTCTCCAAAATGCAAGACACGTGAGAGTAACATGTACAGACGGACCTGGTTCACATGTTTCACTTGGATACTGTACCAGTACACCAGTACTATAGGTATGTGTCATATGTGCTGAGTTTTCAGTGATGTGTTGGGCAAGTCAAAGGTCAGCACAGATGCTGAACGACTAAGCCAGAGTGGACACTGGGTCGCAGTATGCTCCTCTTGTATCAGGGGGCGGACTGCTTGCAGAGCGCTATTCAGAGAAGACAACTTTATAGAGACATGTGGCCGTCTGGCTACAACACAAGCCTGTGGAAATACATCTCCAAGAAGCTTGTGTGGCTGGTATTCATCCCCTTGTCTTCATGGAGATGGAACGAAGACAGTTCCACCAAGAGATGGAACGCATTCAAGCGCCGAATCCAGATGGAAACTGGTTGTGTTTAAGACCGTTTCCAGTGTGATTTTCCCTAGCCAGAGAGGAGGGGTGCAGTCCTGCAAGCTGAGGTTGCATAGGACTCTCATTTGGCTTGGCCCTGTTGTCAGAAGATACCCTGCTTATCTGGACATCGTTTCCTATACCCCCTGTCGTCTCGTAGCCAAGAGCATTTTCTTTGGCACTATGGCCACCAACCTACTAGCGATGGCCTCCAACCCAGTGCAAGGTGTCTAGCTCTGACCGCTTTATACTTTCCACCATCCCAATCAGAGCTCGCACCTTTGTGTGTGCAGCTTCTGGCCAGCAAACAGCTGGACAGGCACTGGTTGCAGTGCGGGATGCACATTTTTGAGTCGAGTACTGCATGAATTCACTTGCTCATTCCATGTCAACAAGCGTTTGATGGGCTGATCCAAAGATTCAGAGGATTGGCTGGCTTGGCAGGGACTTTGGCTGCTAAGAAATCCATATTGTGTACAGTGAGGAACACAGCCAGGAGAGGGACAAAGAACAGTTTGACAGGAAAATACAGGGAAGGAGAGACGTTGCTTCGTGGACAGAGTGTCATGAACATGTAAATCATGCTAAATCATGTAATTCTTCAGATTGTACTGATGAATTCCACAGAGTGTTTTTGGACTCATGTAAGCCTTCCAGAGGTTTTTTCCGTTCTTTTTTTTTTGAAGCCCTTTCTTTTACCACTTTCTTTCGTTCTTTCTTTCTTTCGCTCTTTGCCAATTCGTGAGGCCCTCTTGCGGCGCTTGAGGCGCTGGGGCTCTTGGTATCGTTTCAGCGGGGAGGCGCGACGTCGAGCGCCGGCTCTTGGACAGTGGAAAGCAGGCTTCCTGCTAGGCTTTCGTTCTTCAGCTTCCTAGAAATCTACGAACCAAATCTATTAGGTTGACGGCAATCGCATCGCTAATTATAGTTTCCCAAAAAAATCTAGGAAGCAAATGATTAGAAGCGTGAGCTGTCCAGAGAGCTGCAGGAGCTGCCTTTGCTGGAGAGCCTAAAGACAAGTTTTCGGCACCTGCTGAATGCTTTGGCAAGACTACGAGAGGCGCACTTGGCCTAAATATCGTTGAAGCTAACTGAAGCGTGTGGAAAGTTGAAGAAACACTTGCTTTGAGAGCCCATCACAATTTCAATCTGCGCAAAGATGTTCGGCCGCGATGGTCGCAACACCCACGACAAATCATGCGAGCGTGTGACGTTACTATTAAATGTCACCCATGTCATGATGACTCATTAAGGCTCAGAAAACAAAAAGGATACTAACGAGTCACAGTTTTCCTGGTCATTTTGCATCGGAGGAGCTCGATTGCTTGGATGACGGCTCGACTGCTTTGCCTCTCTCCTTGGCAGTGGAGGAGATGGCACCACTCTTGCTCGTGGCCTCACAAGTGCAGGCGGCACAGGGCTTGGATGCAACACGAACATCAACGGCAGTCCAAAGCAGTCCGAAGCCTGAAGGTCCTCTAGAAAGGAACAAGACGCTACTAGGAACAAGAAGCCACGAACGGGGCTCCTGGCTTTACTAGGAGCAAGGACGCTACTAGTAACAAAGGGCATCGCTAGAAAGTGACAAGAAAAACACGGACCATTGCGGGGGGCGTTGTGGCACTCGCATCTCACTGCTATGGCATGCAAGACTAAGGAAAACAGGCATGGTAAGACCTAAGAACCCCTAAAACAAGGTAACCCCGCCCCAAGGGCCTTGTGTTTTTTAGGTTTTTTGTGACGTCGTGTTTTCTTGGAATTGTGTAATTTCCACGTTTTTGACGTGTTCACACGGAGAGGGATTTTGGGGAGGGGGCTAAAGTGCTGCAAGGGTTGCTCGGAACGTTCGTTTTTGGAGGTTTCGCTACAGTTTCCAACAGTTTTAACTACATGAGTTTTCTGGTCCTAAAGTTTCGAATGACTTTTTTGACGTTCTCTATCGAAGCGAAAAGCGAAGCGAAGCGAAGCGCAGCGAAGCCGCCAACACCCAGAAGAGCCCAAAGGTCCACGGACACAAGTGACGTCAATGGAACCCACCCCCACCCCATGTTTGTAATTTCTGTTTTTGGGTCCCCTTTTACGCTGTTGCTTCATACGGTTACTCTTGTTATGCTCTTACACAATGCATTGGACATGCCACAATGTTTGGCTCAAGGTACCCACTGCGTGTGATAGAAAAGCCGCTCATTCGCCTTCGCTCACTCACTCTTGTGACAGCTAGATCCAGGGATACTGTGATATTCAAGCTGCAACTGCGGAGGATGTGACCCTCACCCCATCTATGACGTAGCATCAAGTATGTTTGCAAGTGCAAGTGACGTCAAAGCCACAGAAACTTAAAATATGCATAAACGCCCGGCCCCTTACAGGCGCGCTTACCTAAGAAAAGTAGTATGCGGCATGCGGGCATATGACCCTACCTTTGCCAAGCAGCGGCCTTTTGTGGATTCGTTCGACCGCCGTTGCCAGGCTGCAGCTTCTGGTTGGTGTCAAGTTCCGCTCTCAGCGACGCGTTCACCGTTCCGCTCTTCTTGGACTTCCTATTTGTTTAAAGAAAAGCAGAAGCACAGAAAGAAAAGAATAAAGAACAGGTCTAAAGGTAGAAAGTAGAAAAAAAGAAAGAAACAACAGTGGGGGAGTCCTAATTGTTTTTTTTGTCACAAGACTTTGTTACTTGGAAGGTTCCCCTGAAAGCTCTTTCTATGGCGCACTAGACGACTAGACTGACTAGACTGAGGCTTTGGCGTCTTTCGACGGCCTTGAGCTACGCTCATTGCCAACCTCAGACGAGGCGGAGGGGCGGAGGGGCCTGGCTCTGCCTTTTCCTTTTCTCGTTTGACCTGACGAAAAGGAACCTAATAGCGATGGCCTCAAGCCAGACGAGTTTCACTTGAATCATTGGCTACAGTGAAGCACATTGTGTGGATGAGACTTTTCGGATTTGAATTCCATTTCAACATCAAGTAGAAAGGGGATGAAAGGCCCAGACTACTTGAGGTACGGATTTGTAGTGGGTCAACTTGTGGTGATGAAAAGTGATTCCTTTTCACCTTGAGACCTCCTTCTCTTCCTTCCTTTTCTTCCTCCTTCCTTCCTTCCTTCCTTCCGTGCGTGCGTGCGTGCTTGCTTGCTTGCTTGCTTGCTTGCTTCCTTGCTTCCTTGCTTCCTTGCTTCCTTGCTTCCTTGCTTCCTTGCTTCCTTGCTTCCTTGCTTCCTTGCTTCCTTGCTTGCTTGCTTGCTTCCTTGCTTCCTTGCTTCCTTGCTGACTTTCTTGGTATCCAAGGGTAGGGATGCCAAGATGTCAAGATTAAGATCATGCTGACCAACAATCATTCGGCGCTTCTATCGCATCCGAGCAGGTCTCCATTTTAGATGCCGAGAAGCTGGCAGATTTCATTGAAGAGGCTAGGCCTACCGCCAAAATTGTGACTGTCAGCTGAGAGATAAAAGCAAATCGCACGGATAGGTTTGCTGTTTGGTTTAACACAAATTGCAACCAAGTCTTGAATGCCCTTCTTTGAAACGCAGTGGAACACATCGAGGAAGGAAAGGAAGGGGATGAAAGACACGTCCAAACGTGTATAAAGGCGTCTAAACGTCTGAAGGAAACTGAGATACACAAACTGAGAACGAAGTCGACGAAAGCATGCTTTTGCTCTTGGTTTCCCTACTGCCTACTAGCAGACCGGTAAGAACGGCGACCCACTAGTAACGGTCTTGGACAGAAACCCAAGATGGTTATTTTCAACAAGCATTCCGCTTTTCTATTGATTGTTTTTCTTCGCTTTGTTCCCCTTTCTTCTGTTTCATGTTTGCACATCCTTCTTTAGGCCTCTTTATGGATTTTTATTGGAACAAGAAGCTACTAGGGGCTCCTGGCATCGCTACTAGTAGCAAGGACGCTACTAGGGGCTCCTGGCATCGCTACTAGTAGCAAGAACGCTGCTAGGGGCTCCTGGCCTTACTACTCGGAACAAGAACGCTGCTAGGGGCTCCTGGCCTTACTACTCGGAACAAGAACGCTGCTAGGGGCTCCTGGCCTTACTACTCGGAACAAGAACGCTGCTAGATCTACCATGGATTTTTATTTGTTTTCTTTTCCACTTCTTTCGTTAGCGAACGGGACACCGCTTCGAGGCCCTGGGTGCCGAAGCGTCGTTGGAGCGCCAGCTACGGCGCTTCGGCCAGCTGCGCCGAGAGGCCGTGGAACGTGCCAAAGCCTCCATCGAGGCGAGACGTTTCCGGACGCTACGAACGGAGCAAAGGGCGCGCCTTTAAAGGAACCCAATAGCGATGGCCTCCAACCTAAGAGCGATGGCCTCCCACGTAATGGCGATGGCGAGACGTTGAAAACGCTTTCGAAAAGGAATAAAAGGAAGAAAAGAAACTAAGAAAGGAAGTGCTTAAAGTGTCCCAGATGTTTTCTTCTTTTTGTTTTTTTCAAAAAGACAACTCGTTTCTTTCTTTCTCTTTCTTTAGACCTTTAGACTTACTTCTGAGGGGGAGAGGGGAAAAGCCAGGACGATCAGGATATGTAATAGGCTTGCTTCCGGACAAAGTCCCAAATTCTACTTCGTTTACAACATGAACTTATCTACTACCATCACTAGTCCTTCTGCTTCTACCGCTAGTGCTGCTACTACATGCCAGCAGCTACTACTGCTACTGCTCCTGCTACTGCTACTGATGCTGCTGCTGCCACATTTTTTTGCTTCTACTAGATAATGCTTTCAAAAGGATTGGGATTGTGGGTCGGGGGTTTAGGGAGACCGATTTTTAGCTGCAAGGGGGGCTTGGTCGCGTAGTTTGAAACGGAGACAGAGCAATTTGACGATAGTCAGGTCCGGGGGACCTTGCTCCGCATGTGAGTTTTGCTCTAGTACCCATCATCGCTGTGAGAAAAGACACACTTTAAAGTCCAGGCTTATTTAGTCGGAGTCAGTGACTCAAACTTTTCGTGTTATGGGCACATGACGAGATCTATTGAGTGGTGCTTAAGTGGAGCAACTTCTTCGCATAGTTGGACATTCCAGAAGTGCCTGGTTTCACTGGAACGATCCAGAAACAGTTCTAAACCTGTTGGCTTGGTAGGCAGGTCCTACCTTGGATTTCCAGCCGGAGGCAGGGTGTACGCGTTGTAGGGCGTGGCTGGGCCATTCTTGCAAGTTTCAGAACCGAATGACAGGAGGAACAGGAAGCTTTGCACTGAGGGATCTTCGTCAGAGGCACTGGTGTTGTCGCTCGAGCACAGACCAGATAGACGCTGCCCTCCTGCTACTCTCAAACTTATAATACATGTTACATGTTGATTTAAAGTACCTATTGGATATGTTGCGAAATATAAAAAGAAGTTGTCTCATGCTGCCACAGGTCCAGGTTTTGAGCTGTTGCAGACATCGCGCGTCAGGAGCCTGCAGCTCCCTCCGAGGGCGAGGATGGGCTAAGGGTGAAGGATTTTGGATGCCCACGTTCCTTCAGACTCACCCTGAAGCGGTTTCTTTTTTGGCATTGGCCAAGATCCCTGCTGACCTCGTTCACTCTTGCTTCAGCTCGCGATCTTGAAATGCGAAATTGGATGACAATTCCGGTGCAAGAGTCCGTGTACAGAACATCACCAAGTGGGTGCCAGTCATGGTGGCAAGTTCGGCAACTTCTTATTGCTAGTAGGTTGGAGGTCATCGCAATTAGTTTCCAACCAAGGTCTTTTTCTTGAAGTTGAAGAATTGAAACAAGAAGCTACGAACGGAGCAAAGGGCATCGCTACGAACGGAGCGGATCGGACGCGACTCGAACGGGGCTCCTGGCCGTACTACTAGGAACAAGAAGCTACTAGTAACAAGTGCATCGCTACTAGTAACAGGTGCCTTACTAGTAGTAACAAGAAGCTAGTAGTAACAAGTGCCTTACTAGTAGTAACAAGTGCATCGCTACTAGGAGCAAAGGGTGCTACTAGGGGCTCCTGGCCGTACAGTCTCATGAACTCACGGCACTTTCCGGTGTCCGCACTGGGCATCTTCCGTTCCCTGGGACCTCCCCGCTTTGGTCACCCTCACCGGGTAGCACAAGTGTTCACGGTGGCTGCAAAGCAGCTCGGAAGGGGTGACAGGGTGAGACCGAGCCAAAGATTCCTCAGAAGGCCTTTCTTTATTTGTAGAATACAATATCTAATATACTGTATGCACAATGCAACTATAGTAGTTATATATATATACATAGTATTCTTTCAGAACAAATCATGGAGACATAAGACCCGAAGGAGTAGCAAGAACAGAAAAGCCAAAGGAGCATACACATAGACTTCTCTTTTCTTTCGCTCGGTGCCGGGGGACCAGCAGAATGCAAAGAAGCTGTGCAAAAAGTCTGGCGCTCCGAGCAAGGGTTTGTTCTGTGTATGTTATATGATCTCTATGTTTAGTGCCGTCTGGACGTGCCTTGTCGCAGAGCGAGCTAGGCTTCGGCATTGCTCGCAATGCCTAAGAAGCTGGAAGTAGATGTGGTCTGAGCCTCAAGCGACGCATCTGAGGAGTAGCATAGCAAGTTTCCCTCATGCAGCATCTCGTCATCCAATTTATTCAACATCCCAGCACGGCCTTCTAAGTGTTTCGGAGTGAGGTTTCGCGTTGATGCTTTCTTGTGGGTTGGCTCAAGGACTTTGTCGCTCAAGTTGCGAAGGGAGGGATCGAATGATTCAGTTGAATGGCTAGTACCAAATGCTCTCCCATCCAACGGCACGTCCAGGGGTGGGTGGTATCAATTGGGGTCGTCACAATAAAGCTGCCTGAGCCGATCAACTGAGCCATGTGGATTGGTGGGCGCAAGGGGAGGATAGGCCAGCTCCAAGTTGTTTGCCGGAGAGCGAGCGACAGAGAGAGAGAGAGAGAGAGACTGTGAGACAGAAGTGGAAGGAATGAAAGTAGAAGGGATTGCGCTGAGCAACCTTTGGAAGAATATGACACGGCGCGCAGAGTCCCTTTTTGTTGAAATTCTGGCGAGGCCTTCAAGGTGGAAGCCCTGGAAATGTCAAAAGCCTAGCATTCCTAATGCGAATGTTCCTCAACTTGAGCATGGATTTCAAAGAAAGGCTAGAAAAGAAGACAGACCGCTTTCAAGGTCTACAAACACTTTATGTATCGCAGGAAAAAGCGAACGGTTTCTGGGGGAGTCGTGAAAAAGAGGCTTTCGGCTTTCTGGGGGACTCGACCCCAAAGAGGAAAGAATTGAGGGTGGAGCTGGAGGCCATCGCTAGTAGGTTGGAGGCCATTCCTATTCGGTTCCAAAGTCTTTAAAGTCTTGTGCCGGAAGGCGCGTGAAACAGTTCCTAGTAGCGAACATTGCTCCTAGTAGCTTCTTGTTCCTAGTAGTAAGGCACTTGTTACTAGAAGCGATGCACTTGTTTCTAGTAGCGAATATTGCTACTAGTAGCAAACATTGCTACTAGTAGCTTCTTGTTCCTAGTAGTAAGGCACTTGTCACTAGAAGCGATGCACTTGTTTCTAGTAGCGAACATTGCTACTAGTAGCTTCTTGTTCCTAGTAGTAAGGCACTTGTTACTAGAAGCGATGCACTTGTTTCTAGTAGCGAACATTGCTACTAGTAGCTTCTTGTTCCTAGTAGTAAGGCACTTGTTACTAGAAGCGATGCACTTGTTTCTAGTAGCGATGCCCTTTGCTCCTAGTAGGACTCCCACGCTTCCGCGAGGTCCGCGCCCATTCCGGGGACCTGCCCATTGCTCCGGAGTCTGGCGGTGCAGGGCCCGGGCGTCGAAATCTCTACGTCGGGGGAGCTCAGGTCGAACGACACAACTGCCGGTCGAACGGAGGAACTGGAGGTGAGGAAGAGGAGAGGAAGAGGAGAGGAAGGAGCAAAGGAAAAAAGAAAGGAAAGGAAGGGAGGGGGGACAGAAAGCCACCAGTAACAAAGACCAAAGACCCATAAACAGCTCTTTGTCATTTCGTTGATGTCTCTCGTTGGTCGCTTCAAGCACGTGCAAGCTTTTGATGTGCGAGCACTTCTCCAAGGCCATGTTGCTGAAAGGTGCAGGAGAAGGCACATCGACTCCGGAACAAGTGGAGACAAGCTTTCAATTGTAGAAATAGTAGTGATTGTAGTAGCAGTAGATTGCAAACCCACAATTATTGAATGCATTTGCCCAAGGCAGACAAGGTACCCAGCAAACGTGAGCTGCCGTGCAGTGCGGGTTGTATTTTCTTTCAAGGGCTTCAGTTTTGTTGTGCATTTGGTCGTGGCCTTGTCTCTGTTTGATTTGCCTGTTTGTCTCTGCCTCATCCCCGCCCATCTGCTTCATCGCTGCTGTTCTTTTTTTAGCACTTATTTTCATCTTCAACCGGACGCCGTACTCCTTCAATCTGTTTGCATTCTTGGGGACTGGTCTTGAGTCCGCCTGCAAAGAAGAGGCAATGCTTTTCCAAACCTTTATTGCTGAATTCCTGGGACAGTTTTTTGGTAACGAGTCTTCTCATAAAGCACTTTAGAGACAAACTGACAAACTCTCTTGCTTCAGACGGTTAAGACCCAAAATCTTCAGCATTTTGTTCCCACATCTACATTTGACAGGTGTGGCAGGCGCTCATTTGGAAGTGTAGCTTGACTGAGTTCATGAAAAACTGACTCAGCTACCTCTTACTACGAGTGGCCAGAGGAAGCTATTTCTTTGAACCTCTTTCTCTTTAAACGCTCTCTCTCATGCTAGCAGTTCGAGCCGGTCAAGTCTGAGATGAGGGCGGCGAGCATACTCTTTATAGTGCTAATGGAAAGGCTTTACCACCTTGGCACTTAGCATCTAGAGATTCAGAATGCCTCCATCTTCCCTCTAGTCTCCCTTTTCCAGGGGGTTTTCGCGGTTTTCCCCCGTCGTGATCGCCACGCCCAGGAAGACCAACGCCTGGAAGAGCGCCTCCAATTTCGTGGTCGGCCAACAGGGTGCTGTGCAACCGCCTCGTGCTCCTCCACCGGACTTCCCGCAAGAAGCCCCAGACAGCGCCGCTGACGGCGGGTATCCAGGTCCGGGACGGAAATCAGAGGACACAAAGAAGATAAGAGGAAAGAAGAGTAGGAGAAACATGGGGAAACCAACCATTCTGCAGTTATGAGCTTTTGAGTTATTGTAAGGTAGTCCAAGAAACACTCCAACTTGTAGATCTTGTAGGCCTGTCGCTAGTCTGAAAGCTGTGCAAGCTTCGCAACACTAGCCAGACCACAAAAAAGATAGATTGGGAATGATTGGCAAAGGATTGCGCTTGGAATTCGATGTAGGCCATGGAACACCATACTTTACGCACGTGTTCCCTTCGGTGCCGAGGCCATGGGTTCACGTCGACTCCCATTTGTGCTACAAGGTGTGGAGTCCGACCGACGTCCCGGTGTCGAGGATCCGTAGTTTGGACATCAAAGGCCTGTGGAGGCCATCGCTAATTCTGTTTTTTTGCTATTTGGCTCGATTTAGTTCAATTCTAATTTGTCACTACTTGTAAGGCACTTGTTACTACTAGCGATGCACTTGTTACTACTAGTAAGGCACTTGTTACTACTAGCGATGCACTTGTTACTACTAGTAAGGCACTTGTTACTACTAGCGATGCACTTGTTACTACTAGTAAGGCACTTGTTACTAGTAGCGTCCTTGCCATGGCTAATTCGTTTTTTTTGCTATTTGGCTCGGTATTGACCGCTGACAGCTGCCTCTTCACTACTGATCAAGCTACTTCAACAAGAAAGGAGGCTCACTGAGGATTGGAATGCCAAACAAAGCAACAAAGACCTTGACCAACTTGAACTCATTGCCATTTGTTTTGTGTACTGTCGAAAGCACCAGCATTCTAGTTTGGCATACTCCACCTATCTCCACCTACACAACTCGGTGAAGATTCTGAAAGACAAGGACCATCGCTATGAAACGACGGACCAAACCGTCTCTGACCAGCGCTGGAGTCGCTGGCTCCGCTCAGGCGACTTCCGGGAAGACTCTTGAGGTCATTGTAAAAGAGATCTCAGTGGAAAAGGGCAGTGGCTTGGTCTGGTTGGGAAACTGCACGTTGGACACTCTCGCAGTCACTCTTAAATACATCACATATCCAAGGTGTGAAGATTGTGTTTGCAGAGAACGAGAAGATTTGGAAGACCATCCCTATCAGCACTATCACCAGCAAGGCGCCACCAGAAAGCTTTTAAGACAAAATGCAGACGCACATCGTTTATCATCATGTCACCACTTTTAGGACAATCCATTGCTGGGCCAGTGGGGCACAGAGCAACGTGATCGCAGCCGTTCACCTGCTCGCTGAGAGATGGCGCTGATAGAGGCAGAGATGGCAGGTCTGTCAGGGAGAGACCCGGAGATTGGCATGGGAAAAAGTGGCCCGAGAGCATCTTCCGAGACTTCCGAGAAGCTGAAGCAGCGCAGTCGTACGGACGCAGCGCAGTCGGTCTTCGGCACCCGTTTCTTGCGACTCAGGTTCTGTGAGGTGAGTGAGATGAGCAGAACAAATCACATGTTGATTGGTCGATGTGTCATGATGTGTCCTGATTTCTATGGTGCTGAATTGGTTTCGGGCCTGGGCGGCGGTGCTTGGTGACCTTTTTTGCAAGAAACGCCCTTCGCTCCGTTCGTAGCGTCCTTGTTCCTGCCCAATTTCTCAAGTCGCTTTTTGCCGCTTTGGGAGCAAACGTAGCCAGTCCTGCGTCAAGTTTGCTACATTTGCGCTCCAGCTTTCAGGTTTCTTCCTACATCTGGGTGACCCGCGGAAAGCCTCCGTGCTAAGTGGATTTGCCCGTTTGCCGTCGGGGTACACAGCCAACATGCCTGGAACGGGGGAACTGGCCTGGAATGCACCAAATCCCAGGTAGATTTTGATGCTTCGCATTAATGACCTCCAAATCAATAAGATTGGTTTTGTTCCTGGTGTCAGTGCTTTGGATATACAAAGTTAGAGCACATAGTGAAATGAACTCGTAGTACTTCACGAAGCCTGTGGTGGTTTTCGCCACCAACTCTGTTTTCTGATTTCGATCTTCCAAGGTGTACGGATCTGGACAAACGAACGCGCCAATTGGTGGAACTCCGTTGTGGTCATTGTGGTCTGATGCCAAGCAGAAGAGAAGGGACAGATTGCCGAGATGTTTCTCAGTCGCAGAGTGGATGCACTTCTTTGACTTGGGCATCAACTAACGAACAACATCAACTCTTTGCCGATCCTTCGCAGCAGCTGAAGCTTAAGATTCAGGGATTGGGTGTAGAGCACCCAGATTTGAAGTGGTTGGTTGAGGCTGCCATATCCTAGTGACCGCTGCATGAGCCGAGCCGAGGTGCACTCTTACAAGCCTTGCTGAGAGGACCTGTCGCTGAAAAATGCGCAGATTGACCTGTCAATATCACCGAAGACTTGAAGCCAATACAAGCAAGAATGCTTCTTTGAACACCGATAACACTTTAGCAACCTTTAGGGCCTGAGGGTTTAAGCCTGGAACTCACCAGGCACGATTTGGTTCAGCCGATTTCTGGATGTCTTATGCAAATCGTTGTTTTCTCGGCTCAAACCAGGTCGCAGACATTTCCTCGCAGGTCACTTGGTCGCTGTCGTAGTCATGTCCACCAAGAAGCAATCCAAGGCCGGTTCGCCCTCGGGAAGAAACCAGCATCCAATGTGAAAGACCTAGGAGCAAAGGAAGCTACTAGGGGCGCTCCTGGCCTTACTACTAGTAGCAAGAAGCTACGAACGGAGCAAAGGACATCGCTACTAGGAGCGATCGGACGCTACATCGAACATCGAACATCGAGTCTCCTTCGATGGCCTCCTTCGATGTCGATGTCGGTCGGTCGTCGTTTTCGTCGCCAGGCTTCCAAGTCTCAGGACTCCATCAATGCTGGCGGCTGAGGATGAGCTGGAGCAGAGCTGTTTGTGCAGAGAAGCTGCTAGGGTCTCCTTGCATCGCTACTAGTAGCAAGGACGCTACTAGGGGCTCCTGGCCATACTACTAGGAACAATTAAGAAGTTACTATTCTCTTTCATCGAGGCGTTTGTGCAGTTCTCTTTTTTTGGACCGAGAATTTGGGTCGCACATGTTGAACTCTAAGGCTCGTTTACAGCTGGTGATGAAGAGTGGCAAGTACAGTTTGGGCTACAAGACCACCCTGAAGACCCTCAGGCAGCTCCTTGAGACAGAACCTTTTCGAAAAAGACAGCTGCTCTTGCATCGCCATAGTTTACCAAAGGTCTTGTTGCAATTTTTGTTAGTGGTCTAGAATGTTGGCCAGGGTACTGGATGCGTTAGGGAAACGGGATGTTGAAGCTGAGCTGATGCTACTTGTAGTATTTTAGCCATGTACTAGCCACGAAGCTATTGTGGTAGTCAAGAGTATGACAGCGTCCTAGCCCTTACTGTACTAGTCAGACGCAATTGAAAACACAAAAGCTCAAGCCATTTGCAAAGCCATTCCATCGATATGTTGACTTATCTCAGCCTTTGCTGCCGTGATGTGTTGAGGCAGGGTAAGTCCAAGCTGATTCTCATCTCCAACAACTGCCCTGCTCTGCGGAAGAGCGAGTGGCAGCCTTACCCCTTTCGCGCAAGAGTGACTGCATGCCTCCAACCTAGTAGCGATGGCCTCCCCTCTAGCGAGCAGACATGTGTGTGACTGATTTGGTCGAAACAACCGCTTTCTAAGGATCGAGTACTATGCCATGCTGGCCGCCAAAACGACAAACCGCACCGACCAAACCCAATTCGACGTGTCGGCCGTCCGGAGGCGAAGACGGGAGTGCACCATTTCCACGGTGACAACAACGAGTTGGGCACCGCCTGTGGTCGTTACTACCGCAGGGGACCTCGGAGTGTCCCGAAGTGAAGAGTTTTCAGAGCGCCTGGTGAGATCTGAAGTCAACAGATTTGCAAGATGAGATAGGTAGGCCAAACTTCCCCCGAACAGTCATTGCTTCTCCATTCGTCCTGATTTCATAGGATATTGCAAGGTCTTTTTCTTGGGAATATCATTTCTCTTGGCACCTTTGGTCTTTGGATTGGAAGCTTCTCGTGGCCTAGGAGTCTCTTTTTGTTTTGTTTGTGCTTCTCAATCAGCGATGGCCGAACTCAAACGTTGCAAAGGCGTGAGCTGCCTATCCATCACTGATCCGGGTGACTCGGACATCATTCGAAGCCTGCCTGGTCAGGTGGGGCGCAAGCTTCGTGGCGAAATCAACTAGTAGCGATGCCTTTTGCTCCATTCGTAGCTTCTTGCTACTAGTAGTATATAATGAATGCCCTTGTTACCAGTAGCGATGCCCTTTGTTAGTCTTTTGCACGTGTGTGTTCGAGCTTCAACTTGAATAGACTGAAGTGACAGGAGTGAGCTTGTGCTGGAGGTGCCATAAGATGGGCAGGACAAGAGTGTCTTTTTTCTTTCAGAAAAGGCACTTCAACTTGACATGACTTGATTCTTCTGCTGCCATGTTCATGGAAACAACACTTGGGACTCTCGGAATGACTTGGGCACACCACAAGTTGTTTTTGCTCGTGTTCCAGGCAACAGCCATCAACAGCCTCCAGTAAACAATCCAACGAACCCGACAAACGAGCATGCAGAAAGATCTCTCTTCATGGCAGGACATGTGACGCAGCGAGGAAAAATGGCCAAGCACCTGTCACTGGAAGATGTTAAAGCTGACCGAAGATAGAAACTTTCGATGGCCCACGTTCCTACGGTTTGAAGGGACTTCAGGGGCCACAGAAACCCTTGAGTTGGATGAAGACTCTCAGAACAATGCCTGAAAGAAAATGTTGGAGCCCATCGCTAGTAGGTTGGAGGCCATCGCTAGTAGGTTGGAGGCATGCATACGATGAAACACATATTATATATGCCCAGATCTATTTGAACTCCGTGTGTTTGTTCCAACAGTATTTCAGGTGACCGCAGGCATTTCCTCACTCGTGCCTGTAGATCCGTTCAGTCGCCATGTCCACCAAGAAGCAGTCAAAGGCCAGCGAACCAGGTGAAACGGACAGATCGTGACACAGATTATTGCCGAAAAGATTGAATGAACCAAACTCGCAACATACATCCACTCACCCTTTTCGGATGATTTGAATTTATCAAAAAGCCAGTTATTGCTTCTGATATTATATCGATCCTCCAAAAACATATTTTCTCGGAGGACGTGTTCACTTTTTGGTTTCGGACGCTGAGGCGTCGAAGTCCCAGGACTCCATCAATGCCTGGGAACTCAGCGTGGTGTCCGACTGACCCAGACCTGGTGCCACACCTCGGGTAGCGTCGCTACTAGGAGCGATCGGACGCTGCTAGGGGCAAAGGGCATCGCTACTAGGAACAAGGATGCTATGCTCCGTGGAGGCCAAGTAGGTTGGAGGCCGTCGCTACTAGTAACAAGAAGCTACTAGGAGCAAAGGGCTTTTTGGGACCTAAGGCACGTTTGCAGCTGGTGATGAAGAGTGGCAAGTACAGCCTGGGCTACAAGACCACACTGAAGACATTGAGGCGCAAAACCCACAAAAGCCAACAATGAATGGACATGCTGCGTCATACTGACTTGCCTTTCCAAGTCATGTGTTGCACAGGCAGGGTAAGTCCAAGCTGATTCTCATCTCCAACAATTGCCCAGCTTTGCGCAAGAGCGAGTGGCAGCCTTACGGCTTGTGCACATCAAATGCATGCCTCCAACCTACTAGCAATGGCCTCAGCATGGTACGTGACGATGGATTTGAGGATCGAGTACTACGCCATGCTGGTCAGCACCCAATGTGCGATCAACATGTTGACTTCTTTGAGCGAGCAAAGAGCATCCAATCTCTGGCATCGTGTAAAGTAACCAACGATAAAGAGACATGCATAGATAGATACATACTATATGTATTTATATGAAGGTGGCTCTTGCCAAAGCAAGATCAACCAAGGGTTTGGCTTGAAGGGTACGACGTAGAAGGAGGTAGGAAGAACACATACATTGGATTGAGTTGAGATACCTTGGCTTTCACATGCGAGATCCGAAGGCAAAGACTGGAGTTCACCACTTCCACGGCGACAACAATGAGCTGGGCACTGCGTGCGGTCGATATTATCGTTGGGTGCTTGGACCAAAGAAACCGACGGTTCACCCATGGCTGGAGGGTTCAAGCAAAAGGAGCCTAATAGCGATGGCCTCCAACCCAAGAGCGACGGCCTCCACCCTAGTAGCGATGGCCTCCAACCTAGAACGAAATGCATTTAAGGGTGGCTTCAAATGCCTTTTTAGTAATGTACCTATATATATAGAGAATTTCTCAACAGACTGGCGTGGGCTCATGCAAGATTAAGTGCGCAAAAAGATTGCCCACGTCGCGCTGACGATTCCGGCGATCAAATCCATGGGAGCCGTTTCGAGTGCTGAACAAGTCTCACTGCCTTTGAAAAAGCCAGATTCCCCTATCAAACACCAGCACTGGGCCTTCAATGGTCCATATGCACCAGTGGATGAGGAAGTCTTCCACGCATTGACGGTCAGAGAGGGGCAGCTTCCCAAGGATTTGGAGGGCTGCTATCTACGAAATGGCCCCAATCCTTTATGGCATCCTCCATCCGAGACCAGCAACTATCACTGGTTTCTGGGGGCAGGAATGGTTCATGCCCTTCGCATCAAAGATGGTGCAGCTAGCTATAACAATCACTTCCTGCGAACCAAAGCGTTTATGGATGAGCAAAAGAATGGTCCAGTCTTTGACAAGATTGCCTTCTCAACGTCCATGAGTTCCTTCCTCCTTCGCTTCGCCTTGGAGAAGGTGGGTTTGGCCCGTGGATCGGCCAGTGGTCCCAGCAACACCAACCTCGTGTATCATGCTTCAAGATTGCTCGCGTTGTCTGAAGCCGACTGTCCCATGGAGTTGAAGATTCTGGTCGATGGTCATCTCCAATCCCAAGCAGAGTATGCGTACAACAACTTGTGGAATGCACATCCAAAGGTGGATCCTGTCACAGGTAAGCTGTACTGGTTAGACTATGACCTCACTGGTGTTACTGCAAAATTTACCTACGGGGTCATTGATACGAAAGGACAGGAGGAGCGGAAGTGTACCGGTGTCCTTGGCGGAGGCAAGGCAGTGATGATTCACGATTGTGGCATCACCGAAAAGTATGCCATCGTGATTGATTGCCCCGTGCTGGTGGGTATTGAGAACTATTCCGTGGAAGGTAGCCTGTGGAAGTTTGATGCAAGTCATGGCGCTCGAATTGGCATCTTTCCCAAGGATGGAGAGAGCGGAAAGGTGAGCCCAACATGGTTCCAAATCGATACATGCTGGATTTTTCATCTTGCCAATGCATGGGAGGAGGGCAACACTGTAGTTATGGTTGTGGTGCGATGGGACAGGATTGACATGTCAGGTCATGGCAAGAAGGATGACTTTTTGTCTGGTAACAAGAGAACTTTGCACGAGTATCGCTTTGACATGGACTCCGGTGCTGTTGTTGAGAAGTCTTTGGCCTCCGGCTTTGAAACGCTTGAGTTTCCCGTGATCAACCAAAAGCACGTGGGACGGAAGAGTCAGTTCACATGGGCAGCTGGCAACTTGGAAGGTGAACCACCGTTTCATCGCATCTTCAAGTTCGATCTCTCCAATCCAGAGAGCTATGCCAGCTATGCTTGTGTGAGTGATGGCAAGAAGCTCACTGCAGGAGAGGCCTACTTTGTTTCGAAGGGAAGCGCTGAAGATGACGGATACCTGCTCACTTTTGTAATCGATCCAGAAGGCAAAGCACCGAGTTCCTTCTTGATCCTAAATGGTCAGAACTTGCAGTCAATTTGTGTCATTGATTTACCAGCTCGCATTCCTTTAGGCTTTCATGGCCTGTGGGTCTCCGAGAAGCAGGTGAAAGATCAGATCAGCAACTCTGTGGCTGCCAAACTGTGATTTGGTCGAAAGCGTCCTTGCTCCTAGTAGCGATGCCAGGAGCTACGTCGAGAGCTTCTTGCCACAAATCGAAGATTTCTGCGTCGTGTTGTGGTCACAGGGTTCAACTCATGACCGCAGCTGGACAATCGCTGTCCCTTTGTCTAACGACATTGGTTGGAAGGGCGGTTAACTTGCAATTGTACAGAGCATTTCAAGCAGTTATGGCACAGATGAAGCCGAAAAAGAGCCACATTGAAGAGTTCTTGCTTAGCCTTTGGATGCGGAAGTACACGATGAAACTTGCTTCAAAAGTTTAGTTCCTTCAGACCTAGGAACAAGGACGCTACTAGGAACAAGTGCATCGCTTCTAGTAACAAGTGCCTTACTAGTAGTAACAAGGACGCTACTAGGGGCTCCTGGCAGCACTACTAGCAAGGACGCTACTAGGGACCCTCCCTTCTTAGTGACAAAGCCTTTCTTTCTTTGGTTTTCTGTGTTCAGCGGTTGAGGTGTCAGTTGCCTATCCATCACTGACCCCGGTGACTCCGACATCATTCGCTCCCTTCCTGGCCAGGCTTGATTCTTTGTGGATTTCTCTCGCTGCATCCGACCGCTCCGTTCGTACCGATGTCCTTTGTTCCTAGAGCTTCCTTGTTATTAGTAAGGCCAGGAGCTACTAGTAGCTTCTATTTTTGGATGGGCCGATTTTCAAGCGCAGAAGTGGTGCTTCAGGAGTGAGCACGATGAACTTGCGGATCAACGAGAGGAGGAAAAGTGTCGCTACCACGATAAATCATTATAGATTTGGATTGATTTGGTAAAGAGTATATATGACAGCAGAATCTGTCTCTTTTGTTGCTCTGGCCAAACTGCCAAACCCTTCCAATTGCACCCACAACTTTGCCTCCACCTGCTATGATTGAGGGCGCGATTCTGCTTGCTACGGCATTACTTCCAAGAACTGCTCAGAACTAAAAAAGCAAGACATCAGTGTAAAAAGACTAAATTTGAAACCAGCAAATTCAGAATCAGCAAAATGGCTTTGCAGAATCTCACAATATTCTACCTGCTCTTTACATGCTTTTGCTGTGGAGCAGCGGTTAATCTGGATTCATTGACCTCGATGGTCTATTTAGATGAGTGGTGCGGCAACACCGATAGATTGCCTAGCTCGGCGTTTGTTGCGCGTACTTCCAGAAGAATGTGTTCTTTGCAGGACTTTGCACGCAATCTTGCGACTTCTTTTTGCTTAATTCTTACAAATCCACCAGACCTGAGTTGGGCAGTGTGCAGTCATGGGGGTAGGGATGGATGCCAGCAGTGGTTGTAGCACGACTTCGACAGATTAGGACGAAACACAGCATGGACGGCAAAGTAGAATATGACCGCAAGCCTGGCACCATGAGCAACAAGTCACACTTGAGCAAATGGATCCATGGTAACACTAAACTCAACTTAAAGAGGATTTGT